TTTTTTACTACGACAAATTTTCGCCCAAATGGCTTTTCCTCCCCCAAAGCTAAAACCAAAAAATATTGCATTTTCAAACGAAAAAAAATGCTTTAATTTCCCAAAAAATTTTTTAAAACCCTGTTTTACAACTAGAAATGGTTTACATTTTTTACAACGAAAAAATTTAGCACAACTAAAAAAAGAATATTGCCCCAACCCCAAATTTTGGGGGGAGAAAATTTTGGGGGAATAACTTCAACGAAAAAATTTCCCCCTTTTCGGAAAATAAAAATATTACACAAAAAGTAAAAATTCAATTGAAAAGAAAATGCTGACCCCAAGGGGAAAAACGGGGGAAAATATCGACAATTTTTCAAAACGGGGAAAGAGGGGGGTAGAAAAGCGATCAATCTTACAAACAGGAGAAAGTAAAATAGCTGACAATTTTAAAAACAGGAGAAAGTAGAATAGTCTGACAATTTTTACAACAGGAAAAAGTAGAATATTGACAATCTTACAAACAAGAATTTAGAAATAGTCGATCAATCTTACAAAAAAGGGAAAGTAAAATGGGCGACAACTTACAAACAGAGAAAGTAAAAATTCTGATAAAATTTACAAACAAGAAAGTAAAATAGTCTGACAACTTACAAACGGAAAATAGAAAAGTCTGATCAACTTACAAACAGGAGAAAGTAGAAATGTCTGCATCTTACAAACGGAGAAATGAAATAGCCCCTGAAATTTTACAAAAGGGGAAAGTACAAAAAACAAAAAGTAGAAATGGTTACTCTTACAAAGGGAGAAATTTAATGTTTAAACAATTTTACAAACTGAAAAAGTTAACTGATCTAAAAATTTTTAAAAACGGGAGAAATTTAAAAAAGTCTGATCTGTCTTACAAACAGGAAAAGTAAAAACAATTTTGGAAATCTTACAAGCTGGAAAAGTTAAAAGTATCTAATAATCTTAAAAACAGGAGAAAGTAGAAACGATCTGCAGTTTTACAAAAGGAGAAAATTAAAACTAAAGAATCTTTTAAAAATAATAGAAATTTAAAAAGTATTTGAATAATTTTACAAAAAAGAGAAAAAAAAAAACTCTAAAAAAATTGAAAACCCAAAAAAACTGAAAACTTTCTAAACAATTTCATAAACACAAAAAACACAAGTAATCCAAAATCAAAATGCTGAAAGGAACAAAAAGAAGGATAAAAAGGAAAAACATTGGAAAAAACGGTTCACGCATTGTGATGAAAAAAGAATGTTCTTCATCTTTTCATCCTTTTTTCGTAGTACTGAAAGAATGCTGACTCACTTAAAACTGAGCACTCATGTTTGCGCACCCATAAGCTCCCAGAAACACGGGGGGTGGAATTTGCTGCCATTTCGTCTTGGCTGTGCAATGAGAATTTGTACTTGGCTTTTCCCTAGTCGAAGCCCCCTTTTCACGTTTTCCCCAAAACGAGCACAAAAAACGGGAAAACCACGCACCTTTTGGGGGACAATGGGGGAAAAATATTAATTCTTGGGTTTAAATAAAAAAAAAAATGCTAAACGATCAAAAGGAGTTAGGTAGAGAAAAACTGGAATCCACGGAAAGGAAAGGGGAGTATAGAAAAAAGTGAATGCTAAGATATTTGGGAGAAGATTTTATCTGCAAATTGGGTTTTTATAAAGGGGATGGGGTTTAAACCCATAAAAAACGGGACAAGGAAAAAAAGGTAAGTGTTTGAAATTGGGGTATCATGGAGAAAAAAATTCGTTATCCATGGGGGGCAAAAAAGGGGAATGTACGAGGTATGGGAACAGGGCCCCCAAAAACGGGGGGTAAATTTTTCCCCGGGGGGAAATTTTAACCTTTTTTTGGGGGGTAATGGGGGGTTTACAAAAAAAAAAGGGTTATGAATTCGGGAAAATAAAGGGAAAAAAATGCGGTACCCGGTATGAGGATTTTTTGGTTAACTTTGTTTTTGTATATAAAGTTTTTAAAGTAAACCTTTTAAAGTAAGTAAAAAAATTTAAAAACCAAAAAACAAAAAACATCAAAAAAAACAAAATAAAAAACAGTATTAAAAAAAGAAATTTATAGTTTAAGTGTGGGGGAAACCCCCAAAAGTATTTTGACAAGTATGCTTCAGGAAAAAAATCACTCATTTAGCCCAGTTTCGACCTTTTCCAGTACGCGTCACTCACTTCCTGGGGTGCCTCTATTTCACATTTCCCAGTTTATCTTTTTGAGCATAGCCGAGGTAGAATAAGCTGGTATGTATGTGTACTGCCCTTTGCAGTATATAGTTAGAAATTTTCCCCATTTTACTGTAAATTTTTGTAGCTATTTTTAAATTTTTAAAATATAATTTATGTGTGGTTCTTACGTTTTCGGGGTTTTTGCTGGGGATAGCAGAGTATCCCGGGGGCGGGTATAGGGTTCATTTTTTGGGCCATATATTTTCAAAAATAAAAAACTTTTTTGTAAAGGGGGGTTTAACTGTTTTATGTGGATTTTAAAATTTGGGGGGTAACAAGCTGAAAAATTTTGGGAACCCATTGGTTAGAAGTACCAACACCTTATAGGGGTGTGAAGCGGGGGTTGAAAATGCTGCAGCGAGGGGGAGGGCTGGGGCAGGGGAAAGATGTCCTGAAAAAGGGGCTTTTTGGGGTGAAAAAAAAAAAAAAATGTTACGCGAAAATTCGTAGTGTGGAAATTGGGAAAAGGGTGTGGATTTACTAATAATATTATTCAGAGAGCTGAAGAGGGGGGATTGTTGAGGGGGGTTTGGTTATTTAAAATGAGGGAAACAAAGCAGAATAACGGGGGTATACAAATCTGTTTTGGGGGGGGGGAAGGGGGGGTAGGGGTCGTCCTGGGAAAAAAAAGGAGGGGGTAAAAAGGGGTTTTTAAATGTGCAAGGAAAACAGCGGGCCATGTGTGAACGTTTTTAGGATGAATGGAGACGAAGGGTTTTTTTTGGGATCTAAAACGGCTGTCAAAGTGGGACAAGAAAATTTTGAAAACGGATTCGGGGAAACCCGGGGTTTAACCCGGGATTTTGGGGCCCGGAGGGGGGAGGGGTTTGGGTTTTTGGCTTTTTGGAGTGCCCATCAAAACCGTCATATCTGGGCACCTCGGCAATGACAGTGATTATGGGGAATGATTGAAGTATATCAAAGCAAGTCCTTTGGTGACAGGAATAAAAAAAAAAATAATATGAATATTGTTTTTGGGAAATTATAAAAATTTAAAGTTTTAAATTTATAATTAATAAAATTTGGGTAGAATTTTAACATACATTAAAAATTTAAAATTTTGTTAATGCTTTTGTGAATAAAAATGTGTTTAAAGGGAAAATCATCATAAAAAATTTTTCCCCAAGGTTTTAATTTTTAAATTTTTTTAAAGGTTTTAAACCCCGGGGTTGCCCCCGGGGTTTGGAAAAAAAAAAAAAAAAAAAAAAACCCCCCCTTCCTTTTTTTAAATGAAGTTTTTCTTGGAAAAGTTTTTAAATTTTCCTACAAAGTTTTTCCGGGGATAAAATTTTTTTTTTTGGGGGGAAAAAAAAACGAAGGGGGGCGTTTTTTTGGGAAAAAAAAAACAAACTTTTTTTCAAAAAAAAAAAAAGGTTTGAAAGGTTTTAAAACCCCCGTTTTTTTATTTTTAAATATATATTAATTTTATATATATATAATATTTTTAAAAAAAAAAAAAAAAAAAAAAAAAAAAAAATTTTTTTTTTTTTTTTTTTTTTTTTTTTTTTTTTAAAAAAAAAAAATTTTAATTTTATATATTTTAAATTTTAAAAAAATAAATTTTTCTGAATTTTTAAAATTTAAATCAATTAATTTTGTAACCCCGCCTTTTAAAAAACCCTTATTTGTTTTTTTTTCCACCACTCCAACCCCCAAAAGAAGGTATTAAAAAAAAATTTTCCCCTTTCCTTAAAAACCCATCCCCGGGGCCTTCCCGGAAGGGCCCCTTTCCCACAAAACCCCTCCTTTAACCCCCCCTTTCCAACCTTCCTTCCCCCCCAAGGATTCCAATTTTGGGGGGGGCCCCCTTAAATTTTAAAAATTTGGAACTTTGCTCCCATTCCCCCGAATTAAAAAACCCCAATTTTTCCCTTCCCACATCCCCCCCTAGGCGCGGGAAATCCCCAAGCCCCCCAAACTAAAATTTTAAAAAATTCCCCCAACCCCTTTCCTGGGGCCAAACCCCTCCCCCGCCTTCCTTCCACTAAACTGAACACTTTTTTAAGCACTCGTTTGGGCTCCATTCTCTCTACATGCCCAAACCCCTCAACAAACCCTTCCTCACCCCTTTCTGGACAACATTTTTGGGTTAATCCCGCACCTCCTCCTAATTTCCCAAAAACCTCAAATTTCCTCCCTTATATTCACCCCAAACCAAAATTGCCCCAGACATGACATCTCCATTTCCCCCTCCGGGCCTTCCCCCTCGTTTGCAACATTCATTCACCCATGTTTCACCCCCATATAAGACCCTTGGGGTTAAAACATACCTCTTACATTCCCCTCTTTGTTTTCATGGATAAAGTTCTTTGTCTCCACAGACTCCTCAGTGCACCACTCCCCTTTTTTCCCCTCGTTAAATTTTGTTTCCCTTTCCCCATCGTACATAGGGACCCCCAAAATTCTGCCTTCCCCCCAACCCCCCCATTTTTCCCCCCAAATTTTTTATCTAAAAAACGAATTCAATTTCCCCTTTCCAAAAAAATTTTTTAAATATACCAAATTTCTTCCAAAAATTAAAAAATTTTTTTTTTCTTAACCAAATTATTTTTAAAACCCTCCAAAATTTTTTCCCTTTTTGGGGGGGGGGGGGGAAACGCCCAAATCCAAACTAAATAAATTTTATTATTATTTAAATTAATTTAAATATAAAAAAAATAAAATATTTTTTTTTTTGGGGTTTGGGAAGGTTTTTGGAAACGGAACAAATTTTCCTTTGAGGGGCAAGGAACCCCCGTTTTGGGCTTTTGGAAAATCGCCCCGGGGTTTCCCTTTCCCCGGCCAACCCTTTAAAAATTATTATTTATAAATTTTTTTATATATATAAAATTTTTTTAATTTTTTTTTTTTTTTTTTAAAAATTTATATATAAAATATATTTTTTTTATATATTTTAATGCAAAAAAAACCACTGTGAAAAAATAGAGAAAATTCCAAGCCCCTTTCGGGGGACTATTTAAAATTTAATAAGGGAAACCTATAAAAGAAAGGGCACCCAAGGGAAGCTTTAAAAGGGGGGGTCGGGCCCAAACCCCCAACCCCCCAACAAAACCCAAGGGACCCAAACAAAGGGTTTTAAACCCCCCCTTTAAACCCGCGCCGGAATTTTTAAATTCTTCCCAAACCCAAAAAAAACAAATTTTTAAAACCCAAAAAAAATTTAAAAAATTATTTTTTGAAAAAGTTTTTTTTAATTAAATTTTTCCCTTCCCAAATTTTTTATTTTTAATTTTTAAAATTGGATTTAAAATTTTAAAAAAAAACCCAAAAGGAAAATTTATTTTTAAAAAATTTTTTTTTTTTAAAATTTTTTAAAGGTTTTTAAAAACCAAATTTAAAATTTATTCCTTTTCGGAACCATGGACTTGCTTGGGGGAATTTTTTCCCAAAATTTTTTTAAAATAAAATTTTGGGTTAAAACTTTAATTTTAAAAAAGGTAAAAGGGAACTTGTCCATTTTTCCTTAAAAAAATATTTTTGTTGTTTAACTTTTTCCCCTTTTTAATTGGTAAAAAAATTTATTTTTCAAGAAACTTAAAAGAACAATTACTTTTTGGGGGGGAATTTTTAATCAAAATTTTTTTACTGTAAACAAAAATTTTTTAAATAAATTTTAAAAAATATTAAAGCCCAAAAGAAAAAATTATCAAAGAATTTTTTCTTTTAAAGGGGAAAAAATTTTAAAATTTAGGTGGAAAATTTTTGTTGTCCCTTTTTGGGGAAAATTGTAAAAATTTTCAAAGCCAAACTTTAAAAATTTTTAAATTACATTTTCCTTGGGAAAAAAGTTTTAAAATTAATTACCTATTTCAAAAAATTTTTGGATTTTTTTTTTTTATCTATGAAATACTTAAGACTTTTAATATCAAAATCTTGATACAGTAAAAAAACTTTTGATAAAAAAAATTTCCCCCCCAAAAATGCGACGGATTTTTCTATAAGTTTTCCTTTTGAAAATTTTTTGCGTTTAAAAGTTTATTAGGGGCAAACGGTTTAAAAATCTCGAACTAGATTAAAAAAACCCATAAATAAACATTGGGAACTGGACAAGTTTCCCAATTTTTATTTATTCATGTAAGAAAAAATTTTTTTTTAAAAAATAAAAGATTTTCAAAAAATTTGGGGAAGGAAAATTTTTTGTTTCAAAAAAGCCTTTTGGTTTCAAAAAAACCGGTTTTTAAAAATTGCCCTTTTTAAAAAGAAGGGAAGTTTTTTGACAAAAAATTTTTTAATTTTTTCTTTGTTTATTTTTTTTAAATTTTTGGGGGGTAAATTTTTTGGGGGGGAATTAATGGGAATTTGGGGAAGAATTTATAAACCTTCCTTGGATTTTTTTACTTTCATATTTTCCTTGATAATGTGAGTAGTCACGAAAGCGTTTGGAAATTTTCTCTAGTCTTTCACTTGGTTTTTTTGGGCTATTCTAAAAACCCAACCCTTTTTACTTTGATCTTATTGCAAAAATATATATATATATATATTATATATATATATATATTATATTTATAATATATATATATATATATATATATAAAAATATATATATATTTATAAATATATATATATATTTTTAAAATATATATATATATAATTATATTATAAAATATATTTTTCCCAAACAAGTCCCCCGTCCCCCACCGAGCAGGGTGCCCCAAAAAAAAGGAAAAAAAACCCCCCCAAAAAAATATTTCATCATTCAACACTTTCACCTCACTCACCCATTATCATTTTTTTTTGCAGAGGTGCTCAGAAACAAAAAGTTTTTGAAGCATATACGTATAAAGATTTCACAACATATTCCCCCCAAAAATTTCCCCAAAATCCCAAACCCCTCCTTTAAAGGCAGGCATGTACTTCCCCTTTCCAGGACTCAAGTCCGACTATTTTGAAAAAACCGGTTTTCCCCGAATCCCTTAAATAAATATTTCCCCGCTAAAACCCAAACGATTAATTGTCCCACACTCCTATTTAAGTACGGAGTTTCGGAATAAAAATTAATAATTTTAAAAAAACCCCCCTCAAATTTCGAAAGGGAATTTTTCCCTTGGATATTTAAAGCCCCTTTAAATTTTCCCTTTTACCTTTCCTAAAAGGAAAAAACATTCCAAAATATTTAATTTTTTTTTTTTTGGTTTTTTTTTTTTTTTTTTTTTTTTTTTTTTTTGTGGTATGTTTGGGAATTGAAGAATGTTTAAAAATTGGGGGGTTTTAAATTTTTTTTTCATTTAAAAACCCAATTTTTTTCATTTGTAATGAAAAATTTTTTTTGCCCAAAAGAAACTTTTTAAAAAATTCAACCCCCTTTTAAAAAAGGAAAATTTTTTTGCCCCCCCAAATAAGGGATTTTTAGGTTTTTTACAAAATTAAAAACTTAAAAAAACCCTTATATTTTTTTTTATTTTTTTGTTTTTTTAAAAAAATTGGTCCCTTTTTTCCCTTTTCCCCCCCTTTTTAAATGGCCTTGCTAATTGCCAATTACGCAAATTTTATTCGGCAGCCCCCACCCCCCCCCCATTTAAATTTCCCTTTTAAATTTTTATAAATTTTTATTAATTTTTAATTGTTTAAAATTTTATTTTTAATTTTGAATGAAACAACGGGGAAAAAAGGGATTCCCGAATTGGGGGAAAAAACCCCCGGAAAAATTTGAAATTCCAACGGTTTCGGTGCTTTCCCCAATTTTCCAAAGGGGCCCCATTTAAAATTTTAAAAATTAAGGGCTTAATAAGGGGTTTTCCCAAACCCAAAATTTCTCCCAAAGGTTTCACTTTTCCCCCACCCAAACCGTTGGTGGTCTTTTTTGGGCCCTTTCCCCTTTTCCCCAAAATTTAAATTTTCCCCGGAAAAAAAAATTTTAAAAGATTTTTGGCCAGGTTTTAAAACTTCCAAATTTCTTTTTTTGGGTTTTTTTGGAAAAAAATATTTTGTGTTTTTATGAAATGTTTTTTTATTTGTGGCCCTGGTTTTTGTATATTTTTTTTTGTTTGGGTGGTTTTTTTGTTGGTTGGTTTGTGTTTTGTTTTTATGTTGTTTTAATTTTAGTTGGTTGGGGGTTGTTTGAGAAAAAGGGTTTGCAATTTTAAAAAATTTTGCAACCAAAAACACATTTTTTGGGGGGGAATTTTTTCAAATTTTTTTAAATTAAAATTTTTTTTCCAAAATTTAAAACCTTTAAAACGAAGGTAAACCATTTTCAGGGAAAAACCCTTTTTAATTGTAAGGTTTATTCCCCTTTTTAATTGTAAAAATTTTTACCTTTAAAAGTTTAAACAAAACTTTCCCTTGGGACCCCCCTTTTTCCTTTTCTTTAAAAAATTTTGGTAATTTCCCCATTTTGAAATAGGCCCACCTAAAATTCAAAACCTTTGTAAAAAAAGGGAAATTTCCTTTTCCCTTATGGGGGAAAAAAAGTGGAAAAACATTATTTGTAATTTTTGGAAATTTTAATTAAATTTTTATTTCCCTTAATAATTAAAAAATTTGAAAAGTCCCTGAGGATTTTTTTAAACCAAAAGTGAAGAAAACTAAGTATTTAACCCCCCAAAGGGGGAAAAGGGGGGAATCTAATTTTCATAAAACCAAAATAACATCCAAAAATCTGGAAACCCTTTTAACCTCCCATTTAGGGAGGTTGTGTTAAGAACCCCGGCCCCCAAAAAACCCCTTTCCCCCCCCCAATTTGGGTTTCCCCCGCCCTTTTAAAAAGGTTTCCCCTGTTTTTTTGATATTTTTAAATATAAAATTAAATATAATATATATATATATATATTTTATATATATATAAATATATATAAAATATATATATAAAAAATAAAATAATCACAATATGCAAAACAACCATAAAATGCATAACCCACAATTTTTCCACGTTTTTTCCAATGCTATCCCAAAGTATCAAAGTCATTATTTCAGCGTATCCCCCATGCAATATCCCTGAATTCTCCGTTTTGGGGGGGCTAGTTTTCCTATAGTTACTCTCTGAGACGACTAGTCACACATAAAACCACCCCCAAAAATTTTTTGCTACAAACAAAACACCAACCCTTCTGGTTTCATAACAAGTTTTTCGGGCTAAGTTACCTTTAATGGTCATCAAGGATAACTTGAGCCATTTCAAGGGCGCCTTCCCCCTGTGCCAGGACGTAGGAGCTATGGGATGTTTTCCCAAGCAGGTGAGAGCGCACAGCACCCTCCGTAGTGAGCCCTCCCCCGGTTTGAAGCCGCGCTCTAACTTTAGGGCAGGGGCCCAAAAGCTGTACAAAACAAAAACAAAAAATAATTTTCAACCCGTAAAATTTTTCATGGGGGAAGGGACATACTACAGGAAAAAAAAAAAAACCCGAAAAAATGGCGTTTTTATTTTCATATTTAAGGGAAAGAAAAAACTGAAGAAAATACAGAAAAAAAAAGTGTCTTTTTCCCCCAAAATAAGATAAGGGTCATCACCCCTTTGGGCCCCCGAGGGTTTATATCATGAATTAAAGAAGTTTGGGTAACATGACATTATAAAGTTTTACAGCTGATATTATAAAAACTTGGGTATAACATACAGAGCTGAAGTTCCCAAAAACTTACTGAGGAGTTATTATAATTAGACTTGCTTAAAAACCTCTCTCCATCTTTTAGATCGGTTGGTACCGCACTAAACTCACCACTAAAAGGTCCCCGGTTTGATCCCCCGGAAGGGCCAAACACTGGGGATTTTTTTTAAGGGCACCCGCTGTCCCTGCTCAAATTTGCATATGTAAACCCGGGGGTTAGCTACTGGTTTTTGGGTCGCATCCTGGGGACAAAATTAACCTAAGTTGGGCCCCAAAGCTTAGGGATAACTATGGGCTTTCTATATATTATGTCACTGATGTCAGCTATGGTCTGTATAAGTTGCATCACGTACAAGATTATTATTATAATTATGTATCTCACTCTCCCATACTTACGACACCATTAAAATGACCAATCAAACGTAAGTTACGTAAACCAGAGATATGTCTTACAGAGCAACAGTCTCAGTGTAAGAGGAGAAGAATAAACGGGGTTCGAACAAAGGTCCTCGTTAATGGCAGGCTTTACCTGGTACCACTCAGTTACGGTAGTTACCAGTGGTAAAGTCTTACCACCATTACATCTCTGAGAGGCAGTACAAGTACTACTGTGAGAGGCAGTACCAGTTACCACTGTGACAGGCAGTACCAGTTACCACTGTGACAGGCAGTACCAGCCACCACTGTGACAGGCAGTATTAGGTACCACTGTGACAGGCAGTACCACATACCACTGTGACAAGCAATACCAGCCACCACTGTGACAGGAGTATTAGGTACCATTGTGACAGTATTAGGTACCAATGTGACAGTATTAGGTACCACTGTGACAGTATTAGGTACAACTGGGACAGCCAGTACCAGCACTACTGTGACAGGTAATACCAGACACCACTATGACAGCCAATACCGGCTACCACTGTGACAGGCAGTACCAGCCAAAACTGTGATAGGCAGTACCAGCCACAACTGTGATAGGCTATACCAGCCACCACTGTGATAGGCAGTACCAGCTACCACTGTGATAAGCAGTACCAGCTTCCACTGTGACAGCCAGTACCGGCCACCAGTGTGACAGACAATACCAGCAATACTGTGACAGACAGTACCAGACCAGCTACTACTGTCACTGCTGCTTCCTTCGTCCCCTTCTCACCAACAGTCTTCTTGGTACTTCCTGTGTTATAGTAACAGTTTTTCTAAACGTGAGAATATATATATATTATATATATATATATATATATATATATATTATATATATTATATATATATATATATATTATATATATAATATTATATATATGGGTGATGAATGTTGCAGCGAGGAGAAGGCTGGAGGAGTGGAGATGTCATGTCTGAGAGCAATGTGTGGTGTGAAATATAATGCAGAGAATTCGTAGTTTGGAAGTTAGGAGGAGGTGCGGGATTACCAAAACTGTTGTCCAGAGGGCTGAGGAAGGTTGTTGAGGTGGTTCGGACATGTGGAGAGAATGGAGACGAAACAGAATAACTTCATAGTGTATCAGTCTGTAGTGGAAGGAAGGCGGGGTAAGGGACGGCCCTTTGGAAAGGTTGGAGGGAGGGGGTAAAGGAGGTTTTGTGTCGAGGGGTTTGGGATTTCCCGCAGGAAATGCGTGAGGTTTTTTGGTTAGGAGTGAATGGAGAAAAAGGGTTTTTAAACTTGCGTGCTTTTGGGAAAGTGTGAGAAAAGTAACATTTTTAAAGGGGTTTCGGGGAAAACCCGGGCGGGCCGGACTTGATCCGGGAGAGGGGAAGGTACGTCCCTGAAAATCTGAAGGGGGGGTTTGTTTAAATTTTTTTTTAAAAAGGGTTTAAAAAATGTAGTGTAAAGCACCCTTCTGGAAAGGGACGTGATGGAGTAAAAGAGGGGTAAAAAGTTTTTCTTTTTGGGGGCCACCCTCCCTTTGGGGTGGGAATCGGCCAGTTTTGATAAAAAAATATAAAATTTTATATATTTATATTTTTTATTATATATTATTTATATATATATATATATATATAATTAAAAAAGAGAGAGAGAGAGAGAGGGAGAGAGGGAGAGAGGGGGAGGGGAGAGAGAGAGGAGAGAGAGAGAAAAATAGGAAGGTATCACCGGGAACTTTTCCTGGGGCCCCTTTCATCCTCAGGAAAAAAAAATTTAAAAAATTATTTTCAAAAAAAAAAACTAAAAGGTTCCCCCCAGGCTTTTTTGATTATTTTCTTCTCCACACCCCTTTATTCTAGGTGGACTTTATTTAAAGAAAAAAATACACTGACAAAAAATCAGGGGGGAAATAGAACAACTTTAAGGGAACATTCGGGCCCTACTTTGGGAAATTTACTTCGTCCAGTCCCCGGCGGGGGGTTTTCGCGACCGGAGCCTAGATGCTGCACGCTTTTTCCTTTTAAACATACATTGCCAATATCCCCAAACCCAACGATACAGGATGAAAAAAAAACCAAAGGGGGGAGTGGGAATGTTAGCTTTTTGGCCCCTTTGTTTTACAATCAACAACCCATTAGGAGCTTGAAAAGTTTTTAAAAAAGAGGAGGTGCCCAAGGGAAAATTTACGACCCCAAAAGGCCGTCTTCACGGGAAATGGGGAAGGGAGGGGGGGGAGGGAGGGGGGGAGGGGGGGAGGGAGGGAGGGGGGGAAAGAGGGGGGAAAAGGGAGGGGGGGGGGAGGGGGGGGAGGGAGGGGGGAGGGGGGGAGGGAGGGAGGGGGAGGGAGGGGGAGAGGGGGGGGAAAGGGAGGGAGGGAGGGAGGGGGGGGAGAGGAGGGGGGGGAGGGAGGGAGGGGGGGGGAAAGGAGGGGGGGGGGAGGGGGGAGGAGGGAGGGGGGGGGGGGGGAAGGGTAAGGGGGTGGGGGAGGGAGGGGGGGGAGGGGGGGAAAGGGGGGAGGGAGGGAGGGAGGGAGGGGGGGGGGAGGGAGGGGGGGAGGGAGGGGGGGGAGGGGGGGAAGGGAGGGAGAGGGGGGGGAGAGGGAGGGGAGGGGGGGAGGGGGGGGAGGGGGGAAGAGGGAGAGAGGGAGAGAGGGGAGGGGGAGGGAGAGAGGGGAGGGGGGGGAGGGAGGGAGGGAGAGGGGGGGGAAGAGAGGGAGAGGGAGGGGGGGAGGGAAAAGAGGGGAGGGGGGGGAAGGGAGGGGGGGGGAAAAGGGAGGGAGGGGGGGGGGAGGGAGGGGGGGAGGGGGGGGAGGGAGGGAGTGGGAGGGAGGGAGGTGGGGGGGAGGGGGGTTTAGAGGGGGGGGGGAGGGGGGAGGGAGGGGGGGAGGGGGGGGGGGAGGGGGGGGGGGGGAGGGAGGGGGGGGGCGGGGGGAGAGGGAGGGGGGGAGGGAGGGGGGAGGGAGGGGGGAAGGGGAGGGGGGGGGGAGGGGGGGGGGGAATAGAGGGGGGGGGAGGGAAAGAGGGAGGGGGGGGAGAGGAAGGGGGGGAGGGGAGGAGGGGGGGAAAGAGAGGGAGGGAGGGGGGGAGGGGGAAGGGGGGGGGTGAGAGGGGGGAAGGGGGGATGGGGGAGGGAGGGGGGGGGAGGGGGGGAGAGGAAGGGAGGGGAGGGAGGGAGGGGAGGGAGGGAGGGGGAGGGGGGAGGGGGGGGAGGGAGGGAGGGAGGGAGGGAGGGAGGGGAGGAGGGAAGGGGAGGGAGGGGGGGGGGGAGAGGGAGGGAGAGAGAGATTTTGAAGGAGAGGAGAGGAGGGAGAGAGGAGAAAAGGGGAGGAGAGAGAGAGAAAAGAGAGGAGAGGGGAGATTGTTTGGACAGAGTAGAGAAAGAGCAAGACGTTTTCATCTCCGCCTGGAACAATCCTGGATAGTTCTTTTCATTTCAGCAGGCCTTAAACCACGGAGGGGTTGTGGGGGGTTTACTGTTATGTACAAGGCCTATATTGTAAAAGTCCGACATTGGGATATACTTCGAGGACGCGTGAAGCAAGCTTTATACCAAAAGAGGGGCAGAAAGCAGCAACTTCACCCGGCGGGACCCGAAAAATCACTTCAAACTGAGATCATTTTTTTCCCAGGGTGATCAAGTTTGGAACACATTCGTACAGCATTGTGATGTCAACGAGATAAAGTCAGTTGATAGAATGAAAAAAGTTTTGGCCCCCCGGATGGGTCCAAAATTCATCCCGTTCCCTTTCTTGTTTGTCTCATAATAATAAAAAAAGTTTCGAATGAACTGATGTAGGAACAGCTCTTAGTTGCCAAAAAAAGTTAGGGAATTTCCTTAAACCCGTAAATAGTTGTCAATAAAGCTAGGGATCTTTAAACCCACCTTTTTCAAACCCTTTTTTAAAGGTGAGAGGGAGAGAGAAGGGAAAGGAAATGCCCCAGGCATACCAGGGATCCATTTGCCCGAAAGAACATAAAAAGGAGGGGGCACTGCAGTAGGCCTATTGGCCCATACTAAAAGAAAAAGGTTTAATATTGTAGAATTAAAAAAAAATCCCGAGCAGGGTATGGTAATACTAACCCAAAATTTAAAGGAAAATATCAAAAATTAGGTCAGACCCCCGTTCTGGGTATAAGTAATTTTTCCTACATTTAAATTTTATTACATTGATATAGGGAAATTAGTGGTAATTTTGGGGTAACCTCCACGGGGGAAAGCGGGTCCCCTTTAAAGGGGGGACTTCAAAAAGTTATACAAAAAAAATGGGGACTGATTTTAAAAAGAACTCATTTTAAAAAAGGGGGCATCTGTAATTACAAGGGAAAAAAGGCCACAGAGTGTGCTTTTAGAATTTGTGGGATGAATCTTCTCCGGTACGCCGGAAAAAAATTAAGGAATGTTTCCCTTTTAAAACAACCCGCTGTCCCCGTTCATAATTTATCCCTCAGTTTAAAATAGGTACCCGGATGTTAGTCGACTGGTGTGGGTCGCATCCTGGGACAAAACTGACATAATTTTCCCGAAATGCTCAGCATTAAAAAGCGGTTCCTATAAGTAGATGTCATTGATGTCAGCTATGGTCTGTATACCTTGCATATGTACTTAAAGAAATAAAGATATTATTATTATTATTATATATTTTATATATATATATATATATATTTTATATATATATATATATATATATATATATATATATATATATATATATTATATTATATAATATATATATATATAAAATTTTATTTATATATTTATATATATATTATATATATATATATATATTACATACATATATATATTATATATATATATATATATTTATATATATATATATATATATATACATATATATATATATATATATTATATATATATACATTATATATATATATTTTATATTATATATATATATATATATATTTTATATATGTCGTGCCGAATAGGCAGAACTTGCCATCTTGGCTTAAATAGCAACGCTCATCTTGCCATATAAGACAAGTGAAAATTTGTGTATGCAATAATGTCGCCAAAATCATTCTGAACGTAACGAAAAAAATATATTTCACTGAGTTTGTCTAGTATTAAATTACTGTAAACAAATCTAAAATATATTTAGTTGGGTTAGGCTAAAATAAATTACTCTTGTTATAATAAGGTTAGGTAAGTTTTCAAAGATTCTTTTGGTGCAAAATTAAAAATTTTTACATTAACATTAATGAAAAAAATATATCTTTAAACGTATAAGAGAAAATTTTAGAAAGACCTTAATTTTAAACGAGTTCTTGCTAATTGACCAGTTTTGCATATTCGGCACGACATTTTTTATATTATACATATTATATATACATTATATATATATATATATATATATATTTTATATATATACATATATATATATATATATATATATATATATTTTATATATATATATTTTTTATATATATTTATATATATATATATTAGTTTTTTCAGTGAAGCCATGCAAAAAGTGGAAAAAAATCAGCAACAACAATTCTGATTATTACACACAATAGTGATAACTAAACAAATAGGACTTTAAGGTATCTATAATATACACTGAGATACTCTTGACGAATCACACAACATATTACACAGTGAGGTGCATGTATCTTTCAGTGTACATATACAGTGAGGTGTATGTATCTCTCAGTGTGTATATACAGTGAGGTGTATATATCTCTCAGTGTATATATACAGTGAGGGGGCTATTATTTCAGGGTATAAAACAGTGGGTGATATATTCTCAGGTAATTTTCCTGAGGTTTTAAACCTTAAATCTCTGTGTTAGGGTTAATGTGTTCTGGTGAACAGGCACATGCATTTTTAAAAACCCTGGTAGTGGAAAGACTTCAAACCCACTCGAGAGCCATACGCTCACAGACTACAGAAAAAACTCCAGTGTCTATAAAAACACTTTTAACTTTCTTTTTTCAAGTTCTTTTTTCTTTTTTTATGGGGGTGAACTTCACTATCGTTGGGAACTTCACTTCAGTTGGTGAACTTCACTATCGTCTGCGTAGTTATATTACGGTTGCTGCACAAAAAAGAAAAGATACAAAATTGTATATTGTTTTTTATGTAAATTTAGTACATAACTGGTTAAAATTAAGCCAACCCTTCAGAAATTTTTCGAAAAAAATTTAACTAATTTAAAAGTCTTTCTGATATTTCATGGAAATGGTTTAAAAGGAGAATGTGGGAACAGAATAATGTTAATTTTGTGCAGAAATTTCCATTTTCTTTTTTAAAAAGTTTTTAATTTTTGTAATAACTCACTTTTTGTGAAAAAAACTCTGTATTATCATTTTTTATATATAAATTTAAATATGTATATTTACCCTCGAAATATATAAAATTCCCGTTGTATTTAACTTTATTTGCTAAGTTTTAAAAAAGAAAGTAATGCGTAAAGGGGTTTCAGAGAGACTTTGTTGACAAAATGGCATAAAAATTGCCACTTTCATAAAATTAATTACAGCAGGTTATTTAAAACCCGATAATTATAATTATTTTAGTCGTTTTCCCGACATTGATGCTTTATGACAACATCAGAGTCACATTTGCGCAGCACCACCCCGGACTTAATTCCTTACCATAGCCCCAAATTTGTTAATTTTTTTTTTTAAATAATTTCTTAAAATGTCTTGCCAGTCAAATAACGAAAGAAAAACTGGAGCTAAATTATATTTTTTTGTGTATTCATGGTTTTTAAAAAGATGTCAAAAATTGTAAAGAAGGCTCAACACTCATCAACGAACATATACCACACCAAAATATAATAAAACAATTACCTTTGATCTTTACCCACACGATGAAATTTTACACAAATAAGAAAAAAAGGATTTTGTAATTTCCCAAAAAACCACGACAAAAATTATCACAACTTCTGGATCATATAACTAAAAATTTTTATGTCATTAATATTTTCATTTGAAAGTGTCAAAAATTTTTTCATAATTTTTAAATTGTACATTTCACATATGTTACACAATTATATTGACACACAATATATGCAAAAACAAAAATAGACCCGGACCCGTTTAAATGAAGTTATGGAGGGGTTTGTGACACTGACCCAAAAAGTTTTATTCGGCATTCAAAAAGTCAGTTATTTTTTTTTATTTTATATATTTTTTAATATATATTATAAAATAAAATTAAAATATTATAATATTATATATATATTTTTATATATATAATTTTATATATTTTTATTTATTTATATTTATCCTTAATTTTTAAATTCCCGCTTATGGAAAAATTCTAAATATTTTGAGTTTATTCGTGTCTCTGTATTTTTTATCAAATGCGTTAATTAATAAAAAAGAAAACGTGATGCTACCCCGTTTGGAAGCCCACAAATAGCAGCTTAAGAATTTTCTGGGAAATGTAGTCATCTGAAAAAAACAAACGAAAAAGTTTTAAATTTAATTTTGACCCATTTAATCCTAATTTTTTATTTTTAAGTATATATATATATATATTTATATATATATATATATATTTATATATATATATATATATATATTATATATATATATATATATATAACTGATATATCAGATCATTATTTATTTATTAGCTACAGTTAAGATAAGAGGTAGAGTGGGAAAAGAGGAAGGTGGCAACAACAAGTAAGAGGGAGGTGAAAGTGTATAAACTAAGGGAGGAGGAAGTTCGGGCGAGATATAAGCGATATTGGCAGAAAGGTGGGCTAGTGCAAAGATGAGTAGTGGGGGGGTTGAAGAGGGTTGGAATAGTTTTAAAAATGCAGTATTAGAATGTGGGGCAGAAGTTTGTGGTTATAGGAGGGTGGGTTACAGGAAGAAAGAGGAGTGATTGGTGGAATATGAAGTAAAGGGTGGTGATAAAAGAGAAAAAGGTAGCTTACGAGAGGTTTTTACAAAGCAGAAGTGTTATAAGAAGAGCAGAGTATATGGAGAAGATAAAAGAAAGGTGAAGAGTGTGGTGAGAGAGTGCAAAAGGAGAGCAGATGAAAGAGTGGGAGAGGCACTGTCAAGAAATTTTAATGAAAATAAGAAAAAATTTTGGAGTGAGTTAAACAAGTTAAAAAAACCCTGGGGAAAGTAGGGATTTGCCGTTAAAAACAGAGAGTGGGTTAGTAGAGGGGGGAGGGGGGTATTGGTAGGGCGAAAATATTTTGAGGAAATTTTAAAATTTTGAGGAAGAAAGGGGGGCGGTTTTCATGCATGGCCGGGAGGATCCTTTTTTAGGAGTGAAGAAGAGCAAAATGTAAGTGTGGGGGAGGTACGTGAGCATTACGTTGAATAAAGGGGGGGTTTAAAGCAGCTGGAACTGGGGGGATCTGGGAAAATTTAAAAAGCGGGGGGGGGGGATATGTGTTGGAGTGGTTGGTATTTTTTAAAATAAATGTATGAAAGGGGGGGAAGGTACTGGGGTTTGGCGGGAGCTGTATAGTCCCTTTTTAAAGGGAAAGGGGAAAAAAAGAGATTGAAAAATTTAGAGGAATAGTTTATGAGTATACCAGAAAGTTACGGTAGATTTTATATTTGAAAAAATTAGAGGGTAGACAGAATGTAAAATTGCGGATGGCAAGGAGGTTCAGAGGGGTAGGGGTGTGTAGATAAAGTTTTTACATTGAAGCATATATGTAAAACAGTATTTAGATAAAGGTGGGAAGTTTTTTTTACATTTAGGATTTAAAAAAGGATATGATGGAGTGGATAGGGGCAATGTGGCGATGTTGCAAGTTTAGGGAAATGGTGGAAAGTTACTAAATGCTGTAAAGAGTTTTTATGAGGTAGTGAGGTCAGGTTTTGGGTGTGTAAAAGAGGGGGAATACTTCCCGGTAAAAGTAGGTCTTTGCAGGGGTGTGTAATGTAACCATGGTTTTTTAATTATTTTTAGATGGGGTTGTAAAAAAAAGTAAAAGCTAGGGTGGGTTTGGGGAGAGGGGTGGAATTTAAATTTTGGGGGAAACAAATTCAAAATGGGAATTGAACAGTTTTCTTTTTGTGTGTACTGTGCTTTTTGGGGGATTTTAAAGAAAAATTGCAAAAGGGTTGTGGATGAGTTTGGAATGTGTGTAAAGGTATAAAGTTGAAAGTGAAAAAAAAAGAAAAAAGGGAAGGGGATGAGGGTACAATGATTTTTGATAAAGAAAAATTGGATATCAAATTGGGGGGGGAGGATATGGAAAAAGTGAAGTTTTCAGTATTGGGAGTGCGTGTCGGCGGATGGATTTATAAGGTGGGTTAATCATAGAATTGATGGGGGAAAAAAGGTGAGTGGTCGTTGGGTATAGTGGAGTCAAAAAACGTTATCTATGGAGGAAAAAAAAGGGAATTATAAAAAGTATAGTAGTACCAACACTCTTATTGGTGTGAAGCTTGGGGGGAAAAAATGCAGCAGCGAGGAGGGGGTTGGGGCAGTGGAGATGCCCTGTTAAGGGCAATGTGTGGTGTAAATATTATGAGAAAATTTTGGGTGTGGAAATTAGGGAAGGTGTGGAGTTAAAACATTAGTCAGAGGGCAGAAGAGGGGTTGTTGGGGGGTTTTTTTGGTCATTTGGGAGGTTTGGATCAAAGTAGAATGAATGGAAGGATTAAATTATGGGGAAGGAAAGAGGGGTAGGGGTCGTCTCGAAAGGGTTGGAAAGAGGGGGTTTTAAAGGGGTTTTGGGGGCGAGGGGTTTGGGATTTCGAAAGCCTGCATGAGGTTTAGATAGGGTGAATGGGGGACGAATGTACTTGGGACCTGACGTTGTTGGGTGTGAGCGGGGAAATATTTAGTAAAAGGGATTCAGGGAAACCGGTTATTTTCTTATAGTCGACTTGAGTCCTGGGAAAAGGGAAGTACAATGCCTGCATTTAAAAAGGGGGGGTTTGGGTATTGGCAGTTTGGAGGGATATGTTGTGTATCTTTTTGTTATGTTCAAAATGTTGTTTTGAGACCTCTGCAAAAGCAGTGTAAGGGGAGTGTGGTGAAAGTGTTGAATGATGATGAAAAATATTTTCTTTTTGGGGGTTTCTTTCTTTTTTGGGTCACCCTGCCTCGGTGGGGCGACCCCAACTTTTGAAAAAATTTATATATATTTATATAAATAATTTATATATAATAATATATTTTTATAAAAATATTAAAATATATATTTTTTAAAATTTATATTTCACATGTATATATATTTATATATATTTTATTAAATTTATATATTATATTATATATATATATTTTACATGTATATATATATCACCTGTTATATATATATATATATATTTTATATATATTAAAATATTTATATATTATATTTTATACATATTTTATTTGTGTGTGTGTGTGTGTGTGTGTGTGTGTGTGTGTGTGTGTGTGTGTGTTGGGGTGTATGTGTGTGCCACCCAGTTGTGGTTGAGGGGTTGATTCATAGCTCCTGCCCCCCCTCTTCATTGGGTGGGGGCCCTTTCCCCCTGAACCATGAGATTTGTCATTCCTCTATTTTAATTAAACTTGTATGGTTTCCCTCCACTACATGCTTCCCAAACTTTTTTCCCACTTCCTGATTCGTGTAAAAAAATATTTCCTAAAACCCCTTGTCTTCAACTTCCAAACTGTGCCCCGTTGTTGCTGTGCCCCATTCTGGAACTCATGTTTTTGTCCCCTTGTCCAAATCCTTCAGTTTTTATGTCGTTTTCAGTTTCCCCATCTTCCTGTCCTCCGTGTCATCGGGGTAAATTTTCCCCTTAAACCCTCTCCTGTGGGACATCCCCCTTAGCTCGGGCTATTCCCGGACCCAATTTGCTGGCCCAGGTCTGCAGCCGTCCGATCCTTTGTGTCCTGCCTGGTTTTCGTCCAAATGTTTTTATCAACTTCATCTCTGCAAACGGGGGCATTCGGAGTCTATCCTTCCGTCATGTCGTTCACAAATACCAGAAACAGCACTGGTCCTAGGACTGCCCCCTGTGGGCCCCCACTGTCCCAGGTGCCCATTAAACCCCTCGCCACGCTGTGTGTTGTGTGTGTGTGTGTGTGTGTTTGTGTGTTGGTGTGTGTGTGTGTGTGTGTGTGTGTGTGTGGTTGTGTTTGTTATGTGTGTGTTGGTGTGTGTGTGTGTGTGTTAAAAACAAGCGGATGCTCCACTGGGCAGGGACCTAGAAAATAAACATTTTCCCCTCCTTCAAAATAATCACCTGTTTTTACAGGGCCCCCAGATACGTAGTTTAGGGGCACTTTAAACAGCAATATTCCAAACCCTCCATTAAAGTGCATGCTTTTTCTTCCCCCCCCCCAGGTTCAAGTCCGGCAAACCCGGGTTTTCCCTGAATCCTTCAAAAAATTACCCTTTCTCCCCTCAAACAGTCGTCAAATCCCAAAAACCATTCGTCCAAATCACTCCCACAACATCTCACCCATAATGGGATATAAAACAGGTAGAGTTAAATGATGTTTTATTGGGATTTAGAAAAAAACCATTATTTCGCCATGCTGATTTTCTAAGTATAGAAAAAATGGATGTGCATATATCAAGCAAAAAAGCATCCCGAAGGGGGTAACAAGTGGGTCTGAGGAGCTCATAAACAATAGCATAATTTAAGACCCATGTGTAGATGAAAGGTTAGAGAACCGAAAGGATAAATTAGACCTGTGCAACCTTTGGGGCCTTTTTTAAGTACCCAAATGTTGCACATGTGTCTAAATTTTTCAAGCACCGATGTGTTGGGGAGAGAGGGAAACAACGAGGAAAGATTATCGACATTGGAAATATGAGCAAATTGGAAATGCCAGTTTTTTAAGTAGTGCCAGTTTTTACACAATGTTTGTTTCCGAATCCCGCGTTTTTGTGTTCCTTTTAGGTGAGGTGAAGGTCACGCCACTCTTCCCCTGTTACCTTTTTACTCTCTCACGGAATGCTTACCCCCCCCCCCCCCTTAGGTTAGCTATGCTGGAACAAAGCCTCTGAAGTTCGTGTAGCTGATGAACCTTTAATGGAATACTTGATGATTTCCTCACTGACGTGCTGTTGGGTGTAAGCAAGGTAACATTTATGAAAGGGATTTTGGGGGGTACCGGCAGGCCGGCTTTATTTCCCGGAAATTTAGAAGTACAGTGCCGGGACTCTGAAAGGGGGGGTGTGATGTTGCGTTTTTTAACTGTAATGTAAGCATGCTTCTGGCAAAACAGTGATGGAGTGAATGATAATGAACTTTTTTCTTTTTCGGGCCACCCTGCCTTGATGGGAAAGGGCCGATGTGTTAATAAAAAAAATCCTCATTGTCCAACTGAAATCTTCCAGCTCATGCTGACACCACTGAAGTCTCCCAGCTTAAGCTGCCACTACTGAATTCTCCCAGCTGTACCTTTGATATACCATTGGTGAGCTTCTAACCTCCAGGTAGACACTACTGAAGTCTCCCAGCTCAGGCTAACACTCATATAATCTTCCAGCTCAGGCTGACACCACCGAAGTCTCCCAGCTCAAGCTGAAATCTTTCAGCTCAGACTAACGCTACTGAAGTCTCCCACTCAGGCTGAAACTACTAGTATAGTCTCCCAGCTCTAGCTGACACTACTGAAGTCTTCCAGCTCCGGCTCACAAATTTGGAAACGTTAGACGTTTTTCCTTACACCTGCTGTCCCTGTTCACCTAGCAGTAGGTGGGTGCCTGGGTGTTAGTCGACCAGTGTGGGTCGCAATCTGGGAGACAACATTGAAGGACCACAGTGGAAATAAGTCAGAAAGTCCTCGATGACGTACAGACTTTTTTGGGTTATACTGGGTGGCTAACCTTCCCTACCCTGGGTTATACTGGGTGGCTAACCTTCCCTACCCTGGGTTATACTGGGTGGCTAACCTTTCCTACCCTGGGTTATACTGGGTTGCTAACCTTCCCTACCCTGGGTTATACTGGGTGGCTAACCATTCCTACCCTGGGTTATACTGGGTGGCTAACCTTCCCTACCCTGGGTTATACTGGGTGGCTAACCTTTCCTACCCTGGATTATAATGGGTGGCTAACCTTCCCTACCCTGGGTTATACTGGGTGTCTAACCTTCCCTACCCTGGGTTATAATGGTGGCTAACCTTCCCTACCCTGGGTTATACTGGGTGGCTAACCTTCCCTACCCTGGGTTATACTGGGTGGCTAACCTTCCCTACCCTAGGTTATACTGGGTGGCTATCCTTCCCTACCCTGGGTGGCTAACCTTCCCTTCCCTGGGTTATACTGAGTGGCTAACCTTCCCTCCCCTGGGTTATAATGGGTGGCTAACCCTCCCTACCCTGGGTTATACTGGGTAGCTAACCTTCCCTACCCTGGGTTATACTGGGTGGCTAACCTTTCCTACCCTGGGTTATACTGGGTGGCTAACCTTCCCTACCCTGGGTTATACTGGGTGGCTAACCTTCCCTACCCTAGGTTATACCGAGTGGCTCACCTTCCCTCCCCTGGGTTATAATGGGTGGCTAACCCTCCCTATCCTGGGTTACCCTTGGTGGCTAACCATTCTTACCCTGGGTTATCCTGAGTGACTAACCCTCCCTACCCTGGGTTATCGTTAGTGGTTAACCCTCTCTACCCTGGGTTATCCTTAGTGGCTAACCCTCCCTACCCTGGGTTATCCTTGGTGGTTAACCTTCCTCCGGGTTAAACATCCAAATAAATCTTATCTTATCTTAAGGCAGCAGCACACTTGGCATATTCAGTTTTGCTAAATACAAGGCCGTATATCTTTGTATTCTGTATACTTCATAAAGTCTAGTCCTGGGCGAAACGTGCACTGTTTCTCACTCTCCACCGCCTCACGCTGGTCTTGATCCATGCACAATAGATATTCTCGATAAACTTACGAGATTAAAGGCTCCCACACCCATTCTGACACCGGACTCAAAGTGCATCTTGTCAGTGTCGTTGCTCCAGTCTCGCCCTTCCAGGATGTACCAACACTCCCTGCAAGCAACAACCTCGTTAAAACCTATTAAAACCTCTCATACATTCTTCAATGACAACAAATAACATGAAGGAAAATATATTTGTATCAATATCAATACGCTTGAAAATGAACATACACGACGGGAACAAACTTTACAATGAACTCAACAAATTATGCAATAACCTCAAAATACGATGACTTTTTTTTAATGCGTTACACTGTAAAAATATTATACAGAAGTGTACTAATTAATATTCAGCAAAGAAGAAGTAGCTTTTGTAAACCTATTGAAATAGAGCATTAATGTATATTCCTACAAACTGTAGTAGCCAAAATTATAAATTATAGAAATCGTATTTTTATTCTTGTGTGTATATTGTTGATAATGACTAACGATCAGTGGTCTTATGCTCAGAGAGGAAATACTGAGTATTTTAATACATTTTGTTTGGATTTCAGAATGCAGTGTTGCAACAGTGCTGCAGTAGTGTTGCAACACTGCTGCAGTAGTGTTGCAACAGTGGTTTGTATTTGCCTTCCAATAAGAAAGTGAGCAGAGCAACAGCCGGGTCCTACACAAGTCAATGTTGAAGAAAAAGATAAAGTCTGGAATCGTTGAGCAACCTACTCTAGTGTGATGGTGCGGAGTGCTTACTGCCTGCCTGCCTCCCCTCTCTCTCTCTCTCTCTCTCTCTCCTCTCTCTCTCTCTCTCTCTCTCTCTCTCTCTCTCTCTCTCTCTCTCTCTCTCTCTCTCTCTCTCTCTCACTCTCTCTTTCTCTCTCTCTTTCAGACACAGACGAGGCACCTCTTGATGACAACGTTCACTTTGTCGTGTAATGCATGCCAACCCTTGGAACTTACACAGTTTAGACCATGCACACCGCGTTGATCAGCTTCCAGTTTGCCACAAATACATTGATATTAAGTGAGAATAGGGATAACAAGACAGAAATTCACTGTAATACGGAGAGCCAATGAGGTCGAGACATGAGCATATTCCCGAAATATGAATTCTTTAAGAAGAAATCTCCAGAGAGATGTGCATTCACAGCTGTAAGACGGACAATTTCCATGATGGAAGTTGCTGTCACGAGCATTTTTTCATAAATTTTCCGCAGTGGGGTTGCTCCAGCTAGACTGTTTGTACGCCAGCACAACAGCTGGTTTTGGTGTTCAAAACATGTCTCCCAATCAGTAATGGCGCTAGTGAAGCATGGGTCGTTCGCTCCTGCTAAAACACGTAGGTAGTCTGTTAGAATTTGCTTTACCAGTTATTTTATGTTGTGGAGGAGGATAAGGCTAGCAAAGCATTTTGGAAAGCTGTTCGTTTTCTCAGTCCATAGTCTGGCTGCAAGTGAGGCTTCCATCCACTGTCAGTAAGCTAAAACAAAAATAGGATTTTTTCTAACTTGGACTCTAGAAGGGTGTTCATATTAGTTTTAAGAGTGCAAATGGCTGGGAAACATTGCAAATAGTAGGTTAGCTGAGGAAGAGATGGACATCTGGTGAATAGATAGACGGGATCATATGTATCAGCAGCTCCAATCCGACCTTCCATCTTCCTGAAGTCGGAAATTTTTTCTCTAGAATAAGGTCCATGCCGATGGAACTGAGAGGAGCGTCGTCTACAATCATTATTTTGCTTTCTTGGCAAAGTGACAGTGATTTGGTTAATGATCTGTTGGCTGGAGGAAACAATTACTTCACATTCGGATAAGTTTGGGGATAGTCTTAGATTCATTCTATGATCATCATTTTCCTGGTATTCTCTGCCAGCCAGAGTGCCATCATCCAAGAACCAAATGATGAGATCAACTCACAGCCTTTCCAGCGATTTTCTTAATGATCAGGCAGAAAAGGAGAGGGGGGCGAGGGGGGAGTCACCCTGCTGCTCACTTTCACATGTACTAATTTCGTGTTCAGCAAATATTTTGATATACCACTGTAACACAAGCTGATGAATGGACAGACAGTAGGAAGGTATTGATGAATGTCTCGGTGTAGTGCATCCTCTCTAAGTTAAAAGCGATTGCAAAGTCCAAGTGAATTAAGCTTTTTTAATCTGTCAGATCAGTAAGGTATGCCCGTGCTGCGTGGGCAGTGCTTCATATCCTTGTTGAATACCAAACTCAGTTGATTTCAGCATTGCGACTGCATTATAACCTACGATCCTCACTGAAGCTCTGGCAACAAGACGTCGGAGGAGGCTGCCAACAGCTGTAGATCTCATTCGACTTTTAAGGGGCAGAGCGATGCAGTATAAGAGGAGATTAATGGTCTTAGGGACACTGCCACACACATTGGTACAGCTGGTGAGCTCAGACAGAAAGCTCTCTGAAGCATCACCATGTGCTGGATTGAGCATATGATTTATGCTGTGATTGTAAATCTATGAAACCACTTATTGAGTCCTCTGTGGATGACACATTAATATAGCAGCTTTATGCTGATATGAAGGTTAGAGGCTCTGCCCCTATGACACTCACGAAGTTCAATATTTGGAGCTCTGGGTGGGCCCTGAAGAGCTCGAGCTGTACTGCAATCTCCAGGAGCAGTGTTATCCTCTCTAGTTGTTATCGGTATTGCTCCAGCAGTTTTCTCCTCTTTTATTTTCTTGCTAGTTTAGTCTTTGATTTTAGATATCACAGGTGGTCTTTTGTTTGCATTTTCCCGGAAGGATTTTCCTATGTTTTCCACTAGGGGAAGACAGACATTTTTATCATCTCTGGGCAATTCGTTTCTTCCCTAATAACAGATACTGCTAGAGACTTGCTCCTCCTGGGTGGGACATGAAAACAGGCATTGCCCAAGAGAATATGGTTGTGCCATGTGGTGGAAGGAGCATCAGTGATCTATTTTTCAAGAGGTCAGTGAGTTTGGCAGCAGCATGATTGCGTCCTACTCTGGGAATGTGTGACACCAGTCTTCTTAGTGTTAGTTTAACAACACCTTATAAGTTTACTATTATGGTGAGATCTAGAAGGCTGTTGTTCTGTCTGCTTGGAGGAGGCTGTTGGTTCTGTCTGCTTGGAGGGGGCTGTTGGTTCTGTTGCTTGGAGGGGGTGTTGATTCTGTCTGCTTGGAGGGGGGGCTGTTGGTTCAGTCTGCTTGGAGGGGGCTTTTGGCTCTGTCTGTTAGGAGGGGGTTGGCTCTGTCTATTAGGAAGGCGCTGTTGGCTCTGTCAGAAGGGTGGGGGGTCAGCTCTGTCTGTTAGGAGGAGCTGTTAGTTTTTCTCGATTGGAGACCTCCAGGGAGGAACGTAAATAGTAAACGTAATGGAACGACTGGTAGCACTTACTTGTTACGACTGGCAGCACTTACTTGTTACGACGGGTAGCACTTGTACAATTGAAAGCACTTACTTGTAGTACAGGTAGCACTTACTTGTACGACTGGTAGCAGGCTCTTATCTTCATTCCGCCTTTAAGAAAGCTAATAAGAGTTTCATCCTCCATGAAGGTCAACACAGCTCTTAACAAGAGACATTCAGCGTAGCACAGCTCAGCGTGGATCTCCTCTGTTGGCCACAACAATAACAACAAGGATCAACATAGCATTCTTTACCTAGCTAAAGTACTGCACTGTCTGTGACTCTCTCCAGCAAGGAAGTCCACAAGATATAGTCGAAATGCGCCTATTTAACCAGTTCATAGGCTCATAACATTATCTGTTGGCCTGCTGAAGTCTATAACAGAGACATTGGCTCAAATATATTTTTATTTTCAAGTCATGAAAATATTGAAATTTATAATTATTGGCCTACGAAAATATATTTATTAAGTGTTTGATTCGTTAATTTATTGAGTGTGAAACGTTCAAGACCACAGGAGGATCAATATATCTTAACAATATCACCAGTACACCACCACGCACGAATACTTGACTCATTAATAAGAATAAGAATGACAAAATTCTCTCAAGATACACTATACACACTGAGAGATATATATCTTTTGCTGTATATATATATATATATATATATATATATATATATATATATATATATATATATATTATATATATATATATTATATATATTATATATATATATATATGTCGTGCCGAATAGGCAGAATTTGCGATCTTGGCTTAAATACCAACGCTCATCTTGCCATATAGGACAAGTGAAAATTTGTGTATGCAATAATTTCGCCAAAATCATTCTGAACCTAACGAAAAAAATATATTTCACTGTGTTTGTTTAGTATTAAATTACTGTAAACAAATCTAAAATATATTTAGTTGAGTTAGGCTAAAATAAATTGTTCTTGTTATAATAAGGTTAGGTAAGTTTTCTAAGATTCTTTTGGTGCAAAATAAAAATTTTCACATTAACATTAATGAAAAAAATATATCTTTAAACGTATAAGAGAAAATTTTAGAAAGGACTAAATTTTAAAAGAGTTCTTGCTAATTGACCAGTTTTACATATTCGGCACGATATATATATATATATATATATATATATATATATATATATATATATATATATATATATATATTATATATATATATATATATGTACTCACCTATTTGTGGTTGCAGGGGTCGAGTCCTAGCTCCTGGCCCCGCCTCTTCACCGGTTGCTACTAGGCCCTCTCTCTCCCCGCTCCATGAGCTTTATCAAACCTCGTCTTAAAACTGTGTATGGTTCCTGCCTCCACTACGTCATTTTCTAGGCTATTCCACTGCCTTACAACTCTATGACTGAAGAAATACTTCCTACTATCTCTCTGACTCATTTGTGTCTTCAACTTCCAATTGTGGCCTCTTGTTTCTGTGTCCAATCCCTGGAACATCCTGTCTTTGTCCACCTTGTCTATTCCACGCAGTATTTTATATGTCGTTATCATGTCTCCCCTGACCCTCCTGTCCTCCAGTGTCGTCAGGCCGATTTCCCTTAATCTTTCTTCATAGGACATTCCCCTTAGCTCTGGAACTAACCTTGTCGCAAACCTTTGTACTTTCTCTAGTTTCTTGACGTGCTTTATCAAGTGCGGGTTCCAAACAGGTGCTGCATACTCCAGTATGGGCCTGACATACACGGTGTACGGTGTACAGTGTGTGTGTGTGTGTGTGTGTGTGTGTGCTTGTACTCACCTAGTTGAGGTTGCAGGAGTCGAGTCCTAGCTCCTGGCCGCGCCTCTTCACTGGTCGCTACTAGGTCACTCTCCCTGAACCGTGAGCTTTATCATACCTCTGCTTAAAGCTATGAATGGATCCTGCCTCCACTACATCGCTTCCCAAACTATTCCACTTACTGACTACTCTGTGGCTGAAGAAATACTTCCTAACATCCCTGTGATTCATCTGTGTCTTCAACTTCCAACTGTGTCCCCTTGTTGCTGTGTCCCATTTTTGGAACATCCTGTCTTTGTCCACCTTGTCAATTCCTCTCCGTATTTTGTATGTCGTTATCATGGCCCCCCCATCTCTCCTGTCCTCCAGTATCGTCAGGTCGATTTCCCTTAACCTCTCCTCGTAGGACATACCCCTTAGCTCTGGGACTAGTCTTGTTGCTAACCTTTGCACTTTCTCTAGTTTCTTTACGTGCTTGGCTAGGTGTGGGTTCCAAACTGGTGCCGCATATTCCAATATGGGCCTAACGCACACGGTGTACAGGGTCCTGAACGATTCCTTATTAAGATGTCGGAATGCTGTTCTGAGTGAGGTTTGCTAGGCGCCCATATGCTGCAGCAGTTATTTGGTTGATGTGCGCTTCAGGAGATGTGCCTGGTGTTATACTCACCCCAAGATCTTTTTCCTTGAGTGAGGTTTGTAGTCTCTGGCCCCATAGACTGTACTCCGTCTGCGGTCTTCTTTGCCCTTCCCCAATCTTCATGACTTTGTACTTGGTGGAGATGAACTCCAGGAGCCAATTGCTGGACCAGGTCTGCAGCCTGTCCAGATCCCTTTGTAGTTCTGCCTGGTCTTCGATCGAATGAATTGTTCTCATTAACTTCACGTCATCTGCAAACAGTGACACTTCGGAGTCTATTCCTTCCGTCATGTCGTTCACAAATACCAAAAACAGCACTGGTCCTAGGACTGACCCCTGTGGGACCCCGCTGGTCACAGGCGCCCATTCTGACACCTCGCCACGTACCATGACTCGCTGCTGTCTTCCTGACAAGTATTCACTGATCCATTATAGTGCCTTTCCTGCTATCCCTGCTTGGTCCTCCAGTTTTTGCACTAATCTCTTGTGTGGAACAGTGTCAAAAGCCTTCTTACAGTCCAAGAAAATGCAATCCACCCACCCTCTCTCTCTTTTCTTACTGCTGTCACCATGTCATAGAACTCCAGTAGGTTTGTGACACTTGGTGGTCTATGATGACGTTATAGAATCACGCAGTTGCTGGAGATCTGTCGGCTGCACATTCATGCCGTGAATCTCCTGTTCCACCATATCCCAAAGCTTTACGTCAAATTCTGACCTTACTATCTGCAGATCGCAGATGGTAGGGTCAGAATCTTCATTTGTCCAGTTTTCCTGAGCCTGTGCTCAGTGTAACCTAAATACCTGCTCTTAGTGGATAAGAGTAGAACCTGGTGTGGTCTTCTGCTGTTAAACCCATCCACTTCAAGGTTCAACGTGTTGTACATCCATAAATGCTCTTCTGCAAACTATTGCTGTAATGTGTGGTTATGTGAGTTACTACGGCCTTTGTGTCAGCTTGAACCAGTCTAGTCATTCTCCTCTGACCTCTCTCATTATCAAGGCATTTTCGTGCACAGAGCTGCCACTCAATGGATGTTTTATGTTTTACTCACCTTTCTCTCGTAAACTCTAGAGACCGTTCAACGTGAAAATCCCTGAAAATAAACAGGTTTCTGAGATGCTCAAGCCACTCCGTCTGGCACCAACAATCACTTAGATCACATTTCTTCCCTAATCTGAAGTTCGGTCTGAACAACAGCCGAACCATTTGACCAAACTGTATGTTTTTAGGCATTTAAGGTGCTGCCACATGATTGGCCGATTAGATATTTACACTAACAAGCAGGTGTACAAGTGTATCTAATAAAGTGACTACTCAGTGTGCGCGCGCATATATATATGTATATATATATATATATATATATATATATATATATATATATATATATATATATATATATATATTTTTATATATATATATTATATTATATAACACGATAGTCAGTGAGTGTCCTGGTCAATATAACATTTGCAGAGGTTAGGAACATAGTTAATTTTAAGAGATATCAGTCATTATTTTGTTACCAGTATATCAGTCATTACCAGTGGACCAGTCATTACCAGTGGACCAGTCATTACCAGTGGACCAGTCATTACCAGTGGACCAGTCAGTCATTACCAGTGGATCAGTCATTACCAGTGGACCAGTCATTACCAGTGGACCAGTCATTACCAGTATATCAGTCATTACCAGTATATCAGTCATTACCAGTGGACCAGACATTGCCAGTGGACCAGTCATTACCAGTGGACCAGTCAGTCATTACCAGTGGATCAGTCATTACCAGTGGACCAGTCATTACCAGTGGACCAGTCAGTCATTACCAGTGGATCAGTCATTACCAGTGGATCAGTCATTACCAGTGGACCAGTCAGTCATTACCAGTGGATCAGTCATTACCAGTAGACCAGTCATTACCAGTGGACCAGTCATTACCAGTATATCAGTCATTACCAGTATATCAGTCATTACCAGTGGACCAGACATTGCCAGTGGACCAGTCATTACCAGTGGACCAGTCAGTCATTATCAGTGGATCAGTCATTACCAGTGGACCAGACATTGCCAGTGGACCAGTCATTACCAGTGGACCAGTCAGTCATTACCAGTGGATCAGTCATTACCAGTGGACCAGTCATTACCAGTGGACCAGTCAGTCATTACCAGTGGATCAGTCATTACCAGTGGATCAGTCATTACCAGTGGACCAGTCAGTCATTACCAGTGGATCAGTCATTACCAGTAGACCAGTCATTACCAGTGGACCAGTCATTACCAGTATATCAGTCATTACCAGTATATCAGTCATTACCAGTGGACCAGACATTGCCAGTGGACCAGTCATTACCAGTGGACCAGTCAGTCATTACCAGTGGATCAGTCATTACCAGTGGACCAGTCATTACCAGTGGACCAGTCAGTCATTACCAGTGGATCAGTCATTACCAGTGGACCAGTCAGTCATTACCAGTGGATCAGTCATTACCAGTAGACCAGTCATTACCAGTGGACCAGTCATTACCAGTATATCAGTCATTACCAGTATATCAGTCATTACCAGTGGACCAGACATTGCCAGTGGACCAGTCATTACCAGTGGACCAGTCAGTCATTACCAGCGGACCAGTCATTACCAGTGGACCAGTCATTACCAGCGGACCAGTCAGTCATTACCAGCGGACCAGTCATTACCAGCGGACCAGTCATTACCAGTGGATCAGTCATTACCAGCGGACCAGTCAGTCATTACCAGCGGACCAGTCATTACCAGTGGACCAGTCATTACCAGCGGACCAGTCAGTCATTACCAGCGGACCAGTCATTACCAGCGGACCAGTCATTACCAGTGGATCAGTCATTACCAGCGGACCAGTCAGTCATTACCAGCGGACCAGTCATTACCAGCGGACCAGTCATTACCAGTGGATCAGTCATTACCAGCGGACCAGTCAGTCATTACCAGTGGACCAGTCATTACCAGTGGACCAGTCATTACCAGTGGACCAGTCATTACCAGTGGACCAGCCATTACCTTTAGTGAATGAATTATAATCGACTTTCTTGACCATCTTGCCTAGTGACTCTCCCAGAGTGTTCTTACGTCTATATCTGTTACACACCTCAACGCTCTTCTTCAAGGCTTCTATTGCTATCTCGATGTCTTTCTGAGGAATTAAAAACTTATTACACACACGTTATTAAGGCTTAGTTTTTTCATTGTACCCAAGTAATGAATATCATTTATTATTATTATTATTATTATTATTATTATTATTATTATTATTATTTCTAAAATTTTATTTTCCAAATTTTCTCTCCGTCCTATGAGCGAGGTGAGGTCACTTACCGGGTCGAAGGTCATGATTGCCTGCAGGTACATGAAGGTGCCGTAGCCTAGCCCATGGTACATACTCTTGTGCGCCCTGAGACAGACAAACACTTGATTAAGATGATAGTCTTATGGGAAGAGATCACTGTTGTTAATGATACAGAAGGTGGAGATGTAAGGGTTCAAGTGATGAGAGAGAGTGTACATACCATGGCCTCATGAGAGCCCTGGCCTCCTCGAAGCGGTTGTTGAAGAAGTAACTACAGGCGAGCTTCGCCTCCTCCATGGCTGTGGTCAGGTCCATCTCGCACACCCTGAGGCCAGACATACATTACATTAATACACACCTACAATACCCTGGCTTCTACAATACCCTGGTGGCTACAATACCCTGGCTTCTACAATACCCTGGTTACTACAATATCCTGGTGGCTACAATACCCTGGAGGCTACAATACCCTGGCTGCTACAATACCCCTAACTGGTACAATACCCTGGCTTCTACAATACCCTGGCTTCTACAATACCCTGGTAACTACAATACTCTGACTTCTACAATATCCTGGCTGCTACAATATCCTGGCTAACATAAAACCCTGGTGGCTACAATACCCTGGTTTCTACAATACCCTGGCTGCTACAATACTCTGGTGGCTACAATACCCCGGTTTCTACAATACCATGGCTTCTGCAATACCCTGGCTTTTATAATACCCGCTGTCCCACATATCCATCACAACCTGGTTGATCTGGTACCAAGTGAAGATACTTCTCCAGTTTTCTCTTGAAGACTTCTACACTTGTTCCAGCAGTGTTTCTGATATCTTCTGGTAAGATGCTGAATAATTTCTGAGGTCATGAATGTTGATACAGTGTTCCCTTATTGTGCCCACCGCACCCCTGCTTTTCAGAAAGCACTCGAGGGTCTGGCCCCAAATCTGCACACTGCCATAACAACATATTGGAGTGAGAGATATGGGAGGAAGTGTAAAATAAACCCAGTGAAAAGCAGGAGTGCGGTGGGCACAATAAGGGAACACTGTATCAACATTCGTGCCAAGAGTACTATCAAGAGTACTATCCTGGTCGTAAGATGCACCAGCCATTAAACACTAAAGTCGTTCAGAAGAGGTCAACCGGAATTTACTTTCAGTCATTTAACGACAATAAAAATTTCCCCTTTAAAACAAAGATCTGCCACTGAGGGTTTTGGAGGATGGAATGGTTGCTGGCTAGTAGATGGTGCTGGCTAGTAGATGGTGCTGACTAGTAGATGGTGCTGGCTAGTAGATGGTGCTGACTAGTAGATGGTGCTGGCTAGTAGATGGTGCTAGCTAGATGGTGCTGGCTAGTAGATGGTGCTAGCTAGTAGATGGTGCTGGCTAGTAGATGGTGCCAGCTAGTAGATGGTGCTGGGTAGTAGATGGTGCTGGCTAGTAGATGGTGCTGGCTAGTAGATAGTGCTGGCTAGTAGATGGTGCTGGCTAGTAGATGGTGCTGGCTAGTAGATGGTGCTAGATGGTGCTAGCTAGTAGATGGTGCTAGCTAGTAGATGGTGCTGGCTAGTAGATGGTGCTAGCTAGTAGATGGTGCGGGCTAGTAGATAGTGCTGGCTAGTAGATGGTGCTGACTAGTAGATGGTGCTAGCTAGTAGATGGTGCTGGCTAGTAGATGGTGCTGGCTAGTAGATGGTGCTAGCTAGTAGATGGTGCTGGCTAGTAGATGGTGCTGGCTAGTAGATGGTGAAGGCTAGTAGATGGTGCTGGCTAGTAGATGGTGCTGGCTAGTAGATGGTGCTGGCTAGTAGATGGTGCTGGCTAGTAGATGGTGATGACTAGAAGATGGTGCTGGCTAGTAGATGGTGCTGGCTAGTAGATGGTGTGCTAGCTAGATGGTGCTGGCCAGTAGATGGTGCTGGCTAGTAGATGGTGCTGGCTAGTAGATGGTGCTGGCTAGTAGATGGTGCTAGCTAGTAGGTGGTGCTAGCTAGTAGATGGTGCTGGCTAGTAGATGGTGCTGGCTAGTAGATGAAGGCTAGTAGATGGTGCTGGCTAGTAGATGGTGTGCTGGCTAGTAGATGGTGAAGGCTAGTAGATGGTGATGGCTAGTAGATGGTGCTGGCTAGTAGATGGTGAAGGCTAGTAGATGGTGATGGCTAGTAGATGGTGATGGCTAGTAGATGGTGCTGGCTAGTAGATGCTGCAGGCTAGTAGATGGTGCAGGCTAGTAGATGCTGCAGGATAGGAGATGGTGCAAGAGAATAGATGGTGCAGGCTAGTAGATGGTGCAGGCTAGTAGATGGTGCATGATAGTAGAAGGTGCAGGATAGTAGATGGTGCAGGATAGTAGACAGTGCAGGATAGTAGATGGTGCATGATAGTAGAAGGTGCAGGATAGTAGATGGTGCAGGATAGTAGACAGTGCAGGATAGTAGATGGTGCAGAGTAGTAGATGGTGCAGGCTAGTAGATGGTGCAGGCTAGTAGATGGTGCAGGATAGTAGCTGGTGCAGGACAGTACATAGCGCAGGATAGTAGATGGTGCTGGATAGTAGATGGTGCTGGATAGTAGATGGTGCTGGATAGTAGATGGTGCAGGAAAGTAGATGGTGCAGGGTAGTAGATGGTGCATAATAGCAGATGGTGCAGGATAGTAGCTGGTGCAGGATAGTAGATAGCGCAGGATAGTAGATGGTGCTGGATAGTAGATGGTGCTGGATAGTAGATGGTGCAGGAAAGTAATTGGTGCAGGGTAGTAGATGATGCAGGATATTAGATGGTGCAGGCTAGTAGATGGTGCAGGATAGGAGGTGGTGCAAGAGAGTAGATGGTGCAGGATAGTAGATGGTGCAGGCTAGTAGATGGTGCAGGATAGTAGACGGTGCAGCATAGTAGATGGTGCAGGATAGTAGATGATGCAGGCTAGTAGATGGTGCTGGCTAGTAGATGGTGCAGGATAGTAGATGGTGCAAGCTAGTAGATGGTGCAAGCTAGTAGATGGTGCTGGCTAGTAGATGGTGCAGGATAGTAGATGGTGCAGGATAGTAGATGGTGCAGTATAGTAGATGGTGCAGGATAGTAGATGGTGCAAGCTAGTAGATGGTGCTGGCTAGTAGATGGTGCAGGCTAGTAGATGGTGCAGGCTAGTAGATGCTGCAGGATAGTAGATGCTGCAGGATAGTATATGGTGCAGGCTAGTAGATGTTATTCATGTCGTCTCATCAACTCCAGTAACAGGAAAATACAAGTATGAGAGAGTCATAGAAAAAATGAATATTGAACTTCGTCGAACATCTAATTGGGAGAAGAAATGGAGAATTACGACTAATCCTGACAAGGTCCTTGTTAGCACGATAGGATGTTTTGCATCAACCATTGAAGATAAAGGGGGTATCTCCATCAGAGGTACACCTGTAGCCATTAGAAACCCTAACAAGATCTTGGGATATGAAATAGACAGGCTGCTCCACTCAACATCTCATGTAACTAAAAAGATCAACACAGCCAAAGCCGGTCTTAGCAGACTCTTTCGATTCAATCAAGCCCTCAACATGTCAAAAAACATCTGTATAAAATGATAATAAGACCTATACTTGAATACCCTTGTGTCCAATGTCATTAACAACAAAGACCAACATGCTACGGTTACAAAGGGTCCAGAATGGAGCTCTTCGCTTTATTACCAATACCAGGAGGAGAGACAGAGTTAAAATGGCAGATTTACACACACAACAAGATATCACTGCCATAAATGTACGCCTTGACACCCTAAAAAAGAAACAACTTTATACAATGCAAGAACTATACATGCCAGATAGAGAACATCCTATACAAGTGATAAATACCACTGATTACACCATCAATACTCCGCCTCACAGGACTCAAAGAATGACTCTCCCACAGAGGGTTCGTCGTTTTATTCATAAAGATGATTACCCTCGACCCATGATTTTGAGCAACTTACCTGACGAAGAAGATTGGATACTACCAGAACCCTTCTATGTATACTGAAAAAAATCATCGCCCCCAATTAGGGAGACATCTTAAATAACTTTCTAATGTAAAATTATGCTATTGACTATTGTTGGACACCACCATTAAGAAGCTATTGTCACGAGCTCATAAACTGGCCAGAAAATATTGCCTTTCCTGTTATATAAATATTCGTTGTGCAATCGCGAAAAAAAAAAAAAAAAAAAAAAAAAAAAAAAAAAAGAAGCAATTGCAACTTGTATAACTACAACCAATTCAGAGTCATGTACTTATATACCTATTATATTTATGTGACTCTGATGGGTTAGTATTATACCTCTTAAAAAATAATCTTATCAATTCAAATACACTTTTTAAATTACACCAAAGTGGTTGGGCCACTTACCTTTTATATCCTACCTCTCCCCCCCCCTCCAACCCTCTTCCAATATTTCCATCCTTACCCATCCTTCTTCCTTCCCCATCTTACCAAAGCTCTGGTCATTAGAAGCGAAGAAGCGAAGCGAGATGGTGCAGGCTAGTAGATGGTGCTGGCTAGATGATGCTGGCTAGTAAATGTTTGCAGGATAGATGATGCAGACTAGTAGATGGTGCTGGCTAGTAGATGGTGCAGGATAGTAGATGGTGCAGGATAGTAGATGGTGCAGGATAGTAGATGGTGCAAGCTAGTAGATGGTGCTGGCTAGTATATGGTGCAGGCTAGTAGATGGTGCAGGCTAGTAGATGGTGCAGGCTAGTAGATGGTGCCGGCTAGTAGATGGTGCAGGATAGTAGATGGTGCAGGATAGTAGATGGTGAAGGTTGTAGATGATGCAGGTTAGTAGATGGTGCTGGCTAGTAGATGGTGCTGGCTAGTAGATGGTGCAGGCTAGATGCTGCAGGCTAGTGGATGCTGCAGGAAAGTATATGGTGCAGGATAGTAGATGGTGCAGGCTAGTAGATGGTGCAGGATAGGAGATGGTGCAAGAGAATAGATGGCGCAGGATAGTAGATGATGCAGGCTAGTAGATGGTGCAGGCTAGTTGATGGCGCAGGCTAGTAGATGGTGCAGGATAGTAGATGGTGCAGGATAGTAGATGGTGCAGGATAGTAGCTGGTGCAGGCTAGTAGATGGAATGGGTGCAGGCTAGTATATGGAATGGGTGCAGGCTAGTTTATGAAATTGGTGCAAGTTAGTATATGGAATGGGTGCAAGCTAGTAGATGGAACTGGTGTAGGGTAGTAGATGGAATGGATGCAGGCTAGTAGATTAAATGGGGGTAGGGTAGTAGATGGAATAGGTGTAGGACAGTAGATGGAATGGGTGTAGGCTAGTAGATGGAA